GCAGAGCAGGTCGAACACCGGCTGCGGATGCTCTGAGTGCCGTGGGGTCATGGCGACGTTATCTGGCTCGGAAGTGAAACTGAGGTGTGTGCACAGCAGGGCTCGATAAGCTTGCTTTAATAGTGAGAAGGGTTTGGGTCAAAAAGATCTATATAAGGCTGTATAGGGGTTTTTTTTATATATGTGTGTGTGTATATAAGCATATATCTACACACAAATGTAAAATATCTATATTGTAGAGATATAAAAGAATAGGTGTATATATACACATATATAAACATATAAAAATATCTGTATCAGACTAGATAATTATATATGTGTATATATGTACACACATACAAAAATGTATTTCATATATAGAAATATATAAAAATATATAAAAATAGATACATCTTTATATATACACATACACATATATATTAAAAAGATATAAATATATGTCAGGCTGTATAGTTTTTATATAAAAAGAGATCAATATATCTATGTCAGGCTGTATAGTTTTTATGTATATAAAAAGAGATATATTAATATCTATATTGAGCTGTATAGTTTGGGTTTTTTATATATATATATATGTGTATGTATCAATCTGGCTGTGTCAGGGCTGTGATCTGGAGGGGCAGTTGGGAGGCTTGGTCTAAACTGTATTAGAAATTGTTAAATTTTAGGCCAGTGGGAAAGACCCTGGCTATGATACTCCTCCTTAAAGAGCAGCTGTTTTTGCTGACACAGCTGTCGTGCCCGCAGAGGGAAGGAGAAATAGTCCCTGTAGCGATGGAGGCTATCAATCTGGCTGTGTCAGGGCTGTGATCTGGAGGGGCAGTTGGGAGGCTTGGTCTAAACTGTATTAGAAATTGTTAAATTTTAGGCCAGTGGGAAAGACCCTGGCTATGATACTCCTCCTTAAAGAGCAGCTGTTTTTGCTGACACAGCTGTCGTGCCCGCAGAGGGAAGGAGAAATAGTCCCTGTAGCGATGGAGGCTTGCTGGCTCGCGAGGAAACCTGAGGTGTGGTTACCTTGCTGGAAAAAGTGAGTTTATCTTTGCAACTCACACATGCCAGCCCTTCGTGTGGTGGTTTAAAACTGGGTGGTGTTTGGCTTGATAAAACAAGGCTAATGAGCTACTATGGAAGAGGTATTTGAGGGTTTAACTCCTGATCTCGTAGCAGACCCAGGGATGAGCGTGCTTTTTGCATTGCCCCCGAAGCTAAAGGGAGGCAACCCTCACCGTCTTGAACCAACAGGTCTCAAGGGCTTTTTTGGGGGAAGCTCTGCCTTTTCGCTCTTCAGATCCCATACCAGATCTTGCATTTGCCCAACGCTCACCTGGTGCAGGATCTCCCATCACCTAACTGAGTCACCCCACTGGTCTGAACTGGAAACAGCTCTAAATGAGATTCTAGCTGCTACAGGTGCTCCGTTATGGAAATATTCATCTTTATAGAGACGCTTTAGTGACTCACCTCTTCATCCAGCTCCTGTTCGAAATGGTAACTGCGATGCAGGCATACGGGTGAACGTGTTGCCATCTCCCCTGCTCCTGCAGCCATGCCGTGGCTGAGTACCAACGGTTTTCCTGTGTCAAAGAGTGCAGGAAATTTTATGGTTAAACTAATATGGTTAACTTTAGAGTGCGTGTGCCTTGACTGGAGCAACCCATGGGTCTGTCACCCTTTACTTGCATAGCAGGTGTTGAGCACGTTATGGATGCTGATTGTCTGCGGAGCTCCTTGCAGCTTGGACTCATGAAAGGTCTTAAAAAAAAAATAATCATGGCTATTTGGGCATGACAAAAGCCTTGTTAAAGCTTAGACCTGCAATGCCGAGAGGCTGCAGACCCCCGTGCCTCACCTCTGTCTATTCTGCTCCGCAGGCATCGACATCCTGAAGCTGGTGGCAGCCCAGGTGGGGAGCCAGTGGAAGGACATCTACCAGTTCCTGTGCAACGCCAGCGAGCGCGAGGGGAAAAAAAATGCACACCGAGCGCCCCTATGCCGCCTTGCAGCACTGGCCCATCCGCGGCCCCGAGGCCAGCCTGGCCCAGCTCATCAGTGCCCTCCGCCAGCACCGCCGCAACGACGTGGTGGAGAAGATCCGAGGCCTGATGGAGGACACCACACCAGTAAAGACGGGCTGGGCTTCGCGCGCTCTTGTCTGTTGCGGTGCATGTCTTGTTTGGCCATGGCGAGCGTGTAGGTGGATGGGACCCGACTGTGGCCTTGAGCTTAGCTGGTAGCCAAGTAGCTGGACTCCATCTCCCTCTGGAGCTCCTCAGCGGCTTATATTTAAGCTTTACATTGCTTTTGAGCAAAGCTTTGTCAAAGTTTTGTCAAAACCTTGTCAAAGTTTTGACAAGCCGTGACTACCACGTGTTGTGGTTTGCGTGTATCTTCGAAGGTCACTAGGAGGACCTGGTACTTGAGCCCTCATGTTGGGGACACAGGAAAAAGCATCCCCCTTTAAATTTGCTCTTATATGTTATAACTAAGTGCCCAGGTTTTTGTGAGAAGGGCCAAGCATCGTTGAGCACTGAACATTGCCATTGTGGAGCAGTGACTTGCTTCCTCCAAGGTGGTGACTGGTGGCATTGAGGGAATCCATGCTTGCTGTCTGCTGGAGTTGTTGCCCTTCTTTGGCAGCTCTGGCCTTGAAACAAGCTGTCTCATATTTTGGGAGAATAAGAAAATTGCTGCAGTAGGGTTTCAGCTGGGTGTAAGTTGTGCCTCGGTGACCTTTGCAATTCGTTTGGGCCCCCTCTGCCTTACCTGTCAGCGTGCTTTTGATTTTTTGGCTCTGATAATTCGGTGGCTTCTGGAAGTGTTTGTAAAGGTGATGGTTGAGGCTTCTTCTGAATGTGAAAGCCAATGGGATGACACATGGATGGAGGTGGGGACAATCAAGGGCAGGGTCTTCCCCCTAAACCAGTTGATGAAACATTTCCCCTTGGCCTCAGCAGTGAGCCAGACCCAGAGGAGAACGTTTTGATGCCTGCAAACTTCTCTGGGCACTTGGTGGGGGCCTGCCAAGGTGGACCTTCGTGTATAGCAAAGCTTGTGGGGCAGAGTGTTTGTTAGGGCAGGGGATTCTCAAATCGTGTTTTGACCATCCCAGACTTCCCTCCTTAAGAGGGACCGTGTTGCATATCCCATATGACTACATTAATGTACCGAATATCTTGGTCCCTCATAACTATAGCGTGAAATCACAGGTTTCGACGTGTTGGAGGGAATCCTGGGCTTGTGCGTGCCAAGCATCGCCCCGGTGTGTCCTGCCCAGATTTTGGACAGGTCCGCTTTGCCAGCTGCCCGATCTCTCCTGCTCCCATTCACTGGCTGTTTTCTTCCTTCCAGCTCCTGGTAGTTAAGCAGCATGTAATTTGCTTGTTTTTTACCATGCTCCAAGATTTTTATTTTTCTTTTTTAATATCAAAGGTGGAAAAAATGAAATGAAAAGCCTGAGACAAAGCTATGGTTAGGAAAAAGACAGGCAGAGAAAATTGTCATTTTACACATGTGAATTAAAGTTTCCAGTATTTGCAATGTCCCAGAAGGAGATATTGTCCTCTTGCTCTCCTGGAGTAGGTAATAACTTCTGTCCTCCTAGTTACTGCTTTGACTTTGAATTCTACAGCAAAGTGCTGGGCTCGGACATCAGAGAAAACATGGGGCTTGTTCATCAGCGCAACCTCTAATTAAGAGACTTGGGTTGTGTGGTGCTCAGTGCTCCTGAGCGTTGCGCTGTATTGGCCAAGACTATCAGGTGCTTCTTCTCAAACAGCACAAAAATGTGGGTGGTAGCTGCAGGAATGGGGTTGATCAGGTGACCCATCGGGATGGTGGACTCCCAGAGATGGAGTAAACACAAGCTGTTTCCTGGCGCGTGCCCATGCCTCTGAAAATACAGCGAGCAGATGCTCCGGAGAATGAGCCAACCCAAATCGCATGGATACTTGTAGGCAAGTCTTCTGGACTTCCCGACCAGCTCTCCTGGAGGATGTTTCTCTTAATCTTTTAAAACAGTGTGTTGTTTTCCCCAGCATCTAGCAGCACCTGGAGCCAGGTGGTCTCTCACGGCTTTTGCTTGTTTTCCTAAAATTTGGTAAAATTGGGTTGCTGATCTTTTGAGCAGGTGGCTCAGGTGGACCCACATGAGAAATGGGGCTTGTTTCAGTGAAGGAAGTGGTGTTGAGGTCAATTTTGGGGGTGTTTTTTTCAATCCACTGAGTGGAGAGCCTTTAATTAGAGCTAATTTGAGTTTGACTTTTAGTGATCTGTCTGTCCAAAGGAGCGGGTTGCCACATGGGTGGCAGGCGTGGGTGCTGTGCTGCACCTCTCCAGCAACTGGCCCTGCAGAAGCAGTCTTGCAAAACAAACAAAAAAAAAAACACAACCCCTGAAATCAACAAAAAATAATGAAAAAGAGCTTTTTGTTTTGTGGACGGAGTGAGGACTCTCATAAGCACCGCAAACACATGCATCCTACCTACAGCTGACAGCGTGATGCCCTTGGGGCGACCCGAGCCAGCAGTGAGCATCCAAGGCATGCTGGTGTGTCCCAGATGAGCCTGGGAGGGACGCGTGGGTGGCTGTGCTGTCTGTGATGCCTTTGGCCCTGCCTGGCATCCCTGGGTGCAAAAGGGGCTTTCCCCGTCTCTCCGCATGGTCCTGTGTCGTAAGAAACCACCAACACCCCCAAATCATAAGTAAAAATTGTGTTATCATAGAATCATGGAATGGTTTGGGTTGGAAGGGACCTTAAAGATCATCTGGTTCCAACCCCCCTGCCATGAGCAGGGACATCTTCCACCTAATCTAAATCTGCTTTCTTTTAGTTTAGAGCCATTCCCCCTTGTCCTATCACTGCACACCCTTGTGAAAAGTCCCTCTCCATCCTTCCTGAAGGCCCCTTCAGGTACTGGAAGGCTGCTATAAGGTCACCATGGAATGACATAGCTCTCGGACAGCAAATTGGTACCCTAAACCCAGCCAGCCACCCTTCACCATCCCATCCCACCCGCTATGGCATCCTGGTCCCAGATCCTTTATCTGGCGCCTGGCTTCAGCCTGTGAGACCTGTGGAGGCGAAGCTGCTCTTTCCTGCAGTGCCCCATTCCATCGGCAGCCTTTTGGGCTCCCAGATCCAAATATTTACAACCCCCGGTAGGAACAGGGGAATTAATGGGAGTCTCTGGAGTGTTACTGTGCGTGGCAGGAACATTTTCCTCCAGGTAGGGAAGAGCTCTGCTGAAAACTCTCCGGCTTTTTTAGCTGTGGGAGATTATGCTGGTTTTGCATCGCGCTGCATGAATTTAGGTTAAAACGAGATTAGCCCTCTGAATCGCTTTGCTGGGTTTTTTTGCAGCTGATCCAGAAAATACGGCGAGCGCAGCAGCTGTGGGAAGGTTTTTTTGGGGTGTCTTTTAAAGGCTGGCTCGGGGCTGAGGTTTGCAAAACCTCCCC